AAAAAAAAAAAAAGAAATTGTTCTTCAGCTTCATTCTTAGGGCTGAAGAGTATGACCTCAAGGAATGTCATTGGCTGTATTTCTAAGAACTCGAGAACATCAGAGCTGGACAAGACCACACCTTTTTTTTCCTCCATATTTGGATACAGACTGAGTTGAATGTATCTACATAGCTACTGCAAAAATTATCACCTGTTGTCTCATCTTTTAAGATCAGAGTTAGAGTTCCAGAGTGTGATCTTTGCTCTGAGTTATGAAGTTAGGTGTGTGAATAAAGAGATTCACGCATTCTTTTCACACAGCAGTTCCTAAAATTCTAGAATTATCCCAAATACTTCCTTCTTGTTGTAGGCATAGTTATCCCATCTATCTTTAGACAGTCGTCACCTAGAGAAAGTGAGTCGGGCTGAGAAAAACTGTTTTCTTTTACCCTGCTGATTGTAGGTAACGTGGGCAAGTCATTTTGCTATTTTATACCTCAGTCTCATGAGCCTCACCGAATTGACTTTTCCTATTTGGGAAATCACTGTAATAATTCAGTCACGTCCTTCCAAGTAGAAGCTACTCACTTGCTGTTCAGGTGCTTTCCACTCTACTCTGGTACCTTCAATAGTTTCTGGGTCATGGAAGGCATTCTCTTTTCTTTTTCTCTTGTTAAATTTTAATTTGATTACTCCACAAAAATGTGGAGTTGATAAAACATGATAAATTAATTAAGCTATATTAGTCTCAGAAGTCCTGAAAGGAAAACATTTTTTAGTAAATTAACAACATCATGATGTCAGATTTTAAACAAATTTGAAATATTCAAGGGGAAGCAGTGATGGAAAGATTGTGGTTGAATGTGAAACTCAACTCTAAAAATGTTCCTTGTAAGAGCAAAAGAAGAGAAGGAAATGAAAACTTTTTTGTTGGTTTGTTTATGTTTTGAAATGAGGTGTCATTCTTTGCTTTTCAAATAATCTATTTTTAAATAATTTAAAAATTACATAAAGTTTCTGGAAGAGGACAGAGAGCTCTCATACCCCCATTCACACACATTTTCAAACTGTTAATATATTTTACTGCATCTGTGCAATGTGTTTTAATACTAATATAACAGCATCTACAATGAATAATTACACTTGATATTCTAATTGCACATCCGGTTTATGCCAGGCATTATGTTAAGCACTTTACTTACGTTATTGCACTTTACTTGATGATCTGACCCTTTCCTCACCCCATCTTTTTTTTTCAGGACCCCTCTATTTACTGAATGCTGAGGAAATCGCAGAGGAAATAGGAACGATGTGGAGGATGATGTATAAACTGACCAAGACTTTAGTTGATTTGCCGGCACCCAGGCGCTTAGCGGAGAACGTGAAAATCAAGATTGATAAATTTAAGCAACACATTCCAATTCTGCGCATCTCTTGCAACCCAGGGATGAAAGACCGGCACTGGCAGCAGGTCCTTGTCACTGCCCACCCCCAGCCAGTCTAGCCCCTACCTGGTCATGGTAGCCCTTTGGATGACAGGAAACATTACTGGGACAGCAGTCCCTAACCTTTCTGGAAGGAGACATTAATTGAGTCCTAGAGCGTTGCGATAGGGATGATAGTCTTTGAAGGAGAGTGATAATTTGGGGTGGGATGTGGGTTGAACTACCTGCCTCTCCACATGAGCAGGTTGACTGTTTTCTTTGGGATCCCCTTTGCTGATGGGTGGCCTCAAAAGCTCTGCTTGTCTGCTTTGCTAAGCAAATGATTCCTGAAGGTTCCAAAGAGCTAAGAGGATGTGGAATTATAGCAGGAGAGGCTTTGCTTTGTCCTCTGACCTAGGAATCACAAAAAAAGGCTGCTAACAGTGCCAGATGATTCCTGCTTGGTCTAACTTTGGTGTAGAGTGACATCAGCAAACAGACTATGATCAGAAATAATTTTGCTCTTCTTTCAGCCCTTGAAGTCTATAAATGAGAATAATAAATATTCTCTCTAAAAATAGTTGGGATTTTTATAAGTAACAAAGTGTGAGGGTTTTAAGTGTAGTGTGAACACTCTGCTGAAAAAAAGAAAACTTATTACATTTCTTAAAGAACTGCCACATTCAAGGGTTAGTAGTGCCTTTGAGTTGTCCTCTACCAGGGAGTTGGTCTGTGTATGGTAAAGATGAGATTGGCTTTCCATGAGGCAGGTTCCATTTTAAGTTGGCTTGGAATGCTCTTTTTTGGAACTTTGAACAAGACTGAGAACATTCTTTGTGGAAGGGTCCAATTTGGAAAGCACACATATTACCTCCAAGGGAACCCCTAACTCTGTTCCTAGAAGCATTATGACCTCCCTTGGAAGACAGAGATGTTGATATATGAGAGATCCAAGATTTCTCTGTAGAAAGAACCTTCTTCCAGTTTCCCAGAAAGACATGAGACCTCGGACTTAAAGTGTGAGGTGACATCTGTGTGGCAGAGGTCATCTGAATCAATCTCTGGTCTTAAAATGCCCCAGCAAAGGGGTCTGTACATGGGTAGTGCTCTTCCTTGA